CCCCTTCCTGCCTGCTTGTACCTCACGTTATCAGCAAGAACAAACTCACCCCGTTCAAACATGCATTCATCATGTACTCCATCTCCGCATTCTTCATACTAGTGCCCAAACTCACCGCACTTGAAACAAAAAGTGGGTAACTTCTCATATTTCACCTGATACTTCACCCTCTCTTCTCCCTTCTTACCCATCACAAAATGCTTTATCTTGCTGTTAATGTCTATCTTTACCTTGACTCTCACGAATTCTCCATAAAAACCTGCAGGACAATGCCACTGATATATATGGGGCGCAAAAGTTTGTCCATCGATTTTTGGACCCTTAAGTAACTTCTGGCGTAAAAAAACTTTCACCAACCCCAGTAAAGTCAATCGCACTACTGTCTAAGGTCAACTAGCAAAGCCACTTGTAACTTGGTGGGACCGGCTCATCAAACTTGTGGTGCTCGGCGAAAGATCCAACGCCACCAGTACACATAATACTAGCGGTGTTTCCGCTAGTCCGACACCACTAGTATGATCTTGGTACTTCGTCTATACAACCCACACACTAGTGTCGTACCCTTGTTGATCCAAGACCACTAGTGATAGGTCGGCAGTAACATGCTTCATCCTGTCCATGCCGCTGGCACTTCCCAAAATACCATCGACGTCCTCTATTATGACGATGTTGCTAATTAACTATTTATATTAGGGTTTTCCAACTAGTGTTGCCTTTTCCGCACTTTGCTTATGTCACTATAGTATATGACATGTCACTTTTGCCAATCTTAGCTTTTGACAATACGTCACAATTGCCAATCCGTGGCAAAAGCAAAAAAGCTAGAGTGCCAATTGTGATTCATTGTCAAAAGCTAAGAGTAGCAAAACTGAAATGAATACATTTTGCTTTAGCCGTGGAATGACATTTGTGATACATCGTGAAAAGATAAGAGTGGCAAAAGTGAGATGTCAAATTCTAGAGTGGCATAAACACCGTGGGCAAAACTAGAGTGGAAAAAACAAAGTTTTCACAAGTTGGACAGATTTTTGATACAAGTCAAACATTTTTCAAATACACATTGAAATACTGAGTACTGTCTAACCTTCATTGATTGCTAGGATGGGCTGGCCTAGTAACGTGGTTCGGGGGAATCTTCTATGTACAGTTGCCATCGGTTTTCGGATGGTTTCAGCCGGTCTTTTTCATTCTGTTTTTTCCCTATACTTTCGGTTGGTCCTTTCTGGTTTTCTTTCCCCTTTTGCTTTTGGTGTTTTTTCTATTTTCAAATACTTGTCAACTTCTCTAAATACATTTTGAACATTTTTATGTACATGTGGAACATATTTTAGATACATTTTAACATTTTTCAAATACATGTTAAACATTTATCCAAATATATGGTGTAACATTTGTCAAATGTACGTTAATATACAGGCTGAACATTTTTCAGATACAAGTTAAACATTTTACAAATAAACATAGAACCTTTTCTTGAATAAATGTAGAACATTTTAAAATTCACAGTGAAAATTTTCTAGAAACATATTGAACATTTTTCATAAATTTATGAACAATTTTTAATGTGCGAAGAACCCTTAACTGTGTATGAACATTTTATAAATAGCACAATTTTTTACATAATATGAAAATATTTTTAAAACCATGTGAATTTTATTTACATTGTATGAGAATTGTTTATATTTTTTTGCATGATATGAAAATCTTCACGTATTTTGAATGGTACAAATATTTGTTTGCAAACTATGTGAACCATAATTACACTTTCACAAATTATTTTTAATTGTAATAAACTCATTTTAAACGAATGATACACAAATATTTTTAAAATTGCATGAACAAAATTATTAACCGGATGAACGTTTTTTAACATTGGGGAAAATATTTTTTATTTCAAAAAATAAAATAGAAGTAAATAAAAATGATAAGCAAAGAAACAAATGGAACGAGACGTAGCCATGGCCCTCTCAACCATCGAAATGGGTGATGGACCTGCAACACACACATCTGCTGGTCCATGTCCAGCCACATCATTGCCTTGGGCAAGCCACAGAACGAAAACTCGCGCCAGGGCTATATATCACCAACTTTGACACCGAACACCTTATCGCGTCTAATGCTTTCGCTCGCGGGCTAGCCTAATATGTTGTGTTCCTGTGGTTTTCTTGAGCGGTTTTGGCAAGGTTCTAAGTATCAGTTTGAATGGAAGCCGTGTGCGGTATTTTTTTCCTTTGTTTCCCGTGTGTTTTCCGTATTGGTTTTCATCGGGTTTTCTTTGTGTTTTTTATTCATTCATTTGTTTTTTTCTTTCCTATATTTTTTATAATACATATCTTTTCTAATACAAGTTGAACATCATTCGTATACATACTGAATAGTTTTTAGACACACGCTGAACTTCTTTTAATCTGAATTATGTTAAACCTTTAGCAAATGCACATTTAATTTTATATATACAGGTTGCACATTTTTCAGATACTGGTTGGCCATTTTTCCAAATACTTATTGAAGATTTTTAAAATATACGACAAACATTTTTCATAAATCATGTGAAAGATTTATTTTAGTGTTATGAACATTTTGCAAATGTGACGAACAGTTTTGTTGAATGCTATGGAATATTTTCTTAAATTACTTTTTTTACATTGTATCAATTTTTTTCAAATGTCATGGGCATGTTTTTGAAACACATGAACATTTCTAAAACATAATGAATAATTGTTTTTTAATGACATGAACATATTTTTACAAATTACACGGACAATGTTTTTTACATTACATGAACATTTTTTTAATGTGCGGTATATTTTTTCAAAACAATTTAATCAAACTAATATTTGTAATAGTTTGAAATATAAACAGAAAGGGAAAATATAAAAATAAAAAACGAACAGAAAAAATGAACAAGAAAGAAATGAAAGAGCGTATAATATTTTAATGTGACAGCTCAGTACAGAGGCTCCTGGAGGTGAGGCGTTCTACAGGCTCAGCACATCACATATTCCACCACCCAAGGGAGTGTTCTTCTCGACATCTTACATATACTCTCCTAGAAGTAAAATGTTATTTACAAGCGAGACAAAAATATCTTTAATCAAGACCAAAATTAACCCATGGACGCCATATATACCACGCACATGAGTTCAACCCAAGAATGCATAAATCAAAATAACTAAAATAAAGATCATATTATTCTTCATGATAGTTGTAGTTCTACCCAAAGGGATTACATAACCACCAGATAAAACAACTGATTACGAATAAATATTGTGTAGATTAAATTGCAGCACAATAGTACGTGCCTCTAAGATGACCGTGATGTTTTCCTGGGCTGGAGTGCATCGACATAGCAAGGGCGGTAGGGGAAAGCACCGTGGACATCTCTAGCATTTGGCCGGTGATATTGTCTAGGATATATATCACCTAGATATTGTATTCTCGAAGTGTGCAGATGATATGCCACGACCGCCTCGCCGAATTTTAGAAGGAGTACGTCCTTGTATGGATGGAACCCGACAATACAACGACCCCACCCCCAAAAGTTTTCATCTACAACTGTACTGTCATCAAATTCAATGAAGTTGTGCTCGTCCGAGTTCCATGAGTAGTCAGAACCATCGCTACTCTCGAGTCCTGCATGATCATCATTGCCATAGCTATCCTATTCTTCATCCTCTTCACCTTGTGTCTCATCATAACGATCTTGTTTTTCTTCTTCATCATCTTGTGTCTCGTTGTAGTTATCTTCTTCCTCTTCCTCTACTTCCTCTCCTTGCTCATACGCGTCCTCTTCGGTCCCATCGGCACAATCATCATTGCTATCCTCATCGTTTTCACGTTCAAATAAACTAATCAAGTCTTTGGTGCTTTCAACCACTGCCCATGTCTTCTTTGGTTCCATCCTCAGTCGGTCCCTCGTATAATTCATGGCACGCTCTTGCTCTTTAAGGTCGGCTTTGTGTGCCAACGTCCATAGCAACTGACCATCGGCTAACTCTGTCAGATCCCATACCTCAAGTTGTAACTCTTTGAATATCGCATAGCGGATCCCTCTTTTTTTTTAGAAAAGGAGGATTACCCCCGACCTCTGCATCAGAGCGATGCATGCAGCCATTTTATTAATTATTCTCAGAGACCTTACAAATCATTACATCAGTAAGCCTGAAGCCACCATCTTCGCGACACCTGTTGCTACTCCTATTCCCTTGATGTAGGGGTGCCGAATGTCCGAGCCTAATACCAAACAGACATCGCACAAAAATCTAACATCTAATGCCGGTTGCCCCATCCCAGCCACTTACCGGGAATGGGTCACACACCGGTCCGGCGCACTCACCGAGGCTACCGCAGCCGTCATCCACCTAACCATCTTCAGAGCGGATCCCTCTGCCGTAGCTCCCTAAGTACCTCTCCGGCAGTTGCCAGTGATTCAATCCCTCGCGATCGAGAGGATGCCCTGGGAGTTCAACCATGTCGTACGTCCCTTTTGAACAATGCAGGATCATGAGGACACCACTGCGGCAGTGCACGTAGAGCGAGCCATGCCAGTACTCGGCCGACCACCATGTCCGCTGGTCCTTACAACGTGGTGCGGTCACCACGTCATAGAGGTGTCCCAAAGTGCAGCGCCCCGGCGTGAACTCCCGGATCTCCCACTGGCCTGTTAGTGAAGAGAACACGAAAACTCGGAATAGCTTTGGCACCTCGACAGCAGCCACATTGGGACTGGACTGGCTCTGAGAACGGGGTGGCTCTTGGGTGTGTGACTCGTGCTGCTCTTCTTCTTCCTCCGATCCAGATGGAGGCTCTTCTTCAAATAAGTTTGGTAGGGACGTACGCTCCCAATCGATCCAACACGGTCGTTTGGCACAGGATGAGTTATGTTGCCGCGCTTCTTCTTCGCTGTCGCGTTGTAGCTTCTCCGTGGGAAAGAAGAACACCTGGTGGTGCGGTGACACGGCCGGGTCAAAGGCAAGGAACACGCCCTCGATGCTGTACGACTACGGCCATGGCGTCGGCGGCTGCGGCAGGCGGGCGTACCGCGACGTGGCTGGGTTGCACACGCCGATGGTATTCAATGAAGGGTCGTATCTGTAATTCCCTGTTACGAGGAGCAAGCCGTTGCAGTGCTGCTTCACGCGGCAATCCGAGTGGTTCCAGAAGAGACGCCGATAGCCGGGAACATGGGCGTCACCCGACACCGGCGGGCCAAACAGGGCGAAGTTGGGGTCGAAGCCGTAGTAGGTGGCGAAGACGCCGGGAAACTCGCGAGGGAAGACCTGCGGGAGGAGGAGGGTGTGGGTATGGGCGCCGACGAGCTCGCGCCAGGCGCCGCAGACGCACCGGGACACGGCGAGGGCGCGGCCGGGGAGGCGCCGGAGGACGTCGAGGAGGAGGTCGCTGGGGAGGCAGATGCCGTTGTCGTCCATCACGCCGGCCTGGACGCACGCGAAAGTCGAGGTGACCGGCCGGCGCGGCGCTGTTAGGAGGTGATCTCGATCGGGTGCAAGATGATCGAGGAATAGTAGGATCTAGCGATTGTAATCGTAGTGGGAAATTGCCTTGTATATATAACGCCTGTGCGGGGACAATGAAAAATGCAGAGCCAAAAAAACTTGGACGTCACGTTCATGACCTGATGATCAAATCACATTTGAAGATCTGGTCAATTAAAGGCAGGTATTTTTGCTAAGGCCAGTTAAAGGCAGATCCTCGCAGAAAAGATCGAAATCTTCATATTATTAATATGATATATGTGCTGCAGCTGCACACGATTTGTTGCTTCTAGTCATATATTGCAGATCCGATCAGTCAATGCGGACGAATTCATTTGTTGCATGGAGGAATCGACTCGATAGCAGCTGACCTCAAGGACAACACAAAACAGGATGGACACCGCGGCCATTGCCAAGAAGCTGAAGAAGCTCTGCAAAACAAAATAATACCCTGATAATATGCCTTTGACATGATGCATGACAACTGAGGCTCTGATAGCGCAATGCAGGCACTTTGCGTATTGTACTACAGTATAGTGCACTAAAAAAATCAAGTCAGATAAAATCAGATCAGCGTATGTCATGCCTCCGCACTTTTCTGATTTCATACATGCATGTGGTTTGGATTAGGGATAATCTTAAAATTTGAGCAGTAGAGCTGGCCCTGTGACGGGGGATGGTCATCCAGGGGCGGAGCCAGGATTTGCAGATGAGGGGGGTGAGAAAAATAACAATTGCTCAAGAGCTGCATCGCAAGAATGCAGTCTAAAAAATAGCGCTTGTATGGTGTTAAAAAAATAGCACTTGTATGAATGTCCAGCAACATATTTCTGTAATGCAAAGAAAAAGATACATTTCTATTTTTTTTTTTGCTCTACAAGTATCATCGTTGAACATGTCAATAATCTAATCTGATGAAAAATAACTATATTGGAGTCGGTGATGCTATCGTGTATGGCTGATAAGGGCCCTCAGAAATAGAGAATCGATGTGCAAATGTTAAACAAAAAGTGAAATAAGATGTCTAACTTGTAATCTTATTGCATCCAATTAGTGAATTGAACCTTTGACTTGTAGCAATAGTACCAATTCACTAGGAAATAAATCACTCACTATCAGAATAACTGCTTACGCCGACGGCCCCTGTCGGCATAGATAGACCTATCCCGACGGCCTAGGACAGGCCATAGGCGTAGAAAAGCCGTCGGCATACGTCTACTATGACGACGGGGCCATCGGCATAGATGAGGCCGTCGGGACCGCTCGAGATACGCCTACGGGGCCCGTCGGCATAGCCCGGGCCCACCTACCCGGTCAGCGCTGACCGTTTGACGGCGTTGAAACTATGCCGACGGGAGGTAACGGCGGCCGTCGACATATCTATGGCAGAGATATGCCTACGGCATAGCCGTCGGCATAGGCTTGGTGTTACGACATATCTCTCTCAAGGTAGTTTTGGTGATTGATGACAACATGTATGCGGACTAATCATGCGCTTTGAATAGTTCATAGATTCACCCCTGGCACGAGACGTTTCCTTCCCTTCGGAGTGTCCTTCAAGACGGTGTAGCTCTTTCGTTTCTCTCTCGGTGGACTAGTTGCATAGAGGGCACCGTACTATCAAGAGGGGGTCCGCTGGGGTTTTGCATGGGTGGAATCAACACGTACACATCAGCTTCTCACCCTCTGAGCTTGTCCATTCCTTTGAAGAGGTCTCTCCACTTTTCCTTGTCCTGTCTGGGTCGCAGCGGTAGTACCGCGCAACCCAGCCGTAGTATCGTTGAGGAGACACAAGCGGCAGTACCGCTCCATAGCGGTAGTACCGCCCTTGTCTCCATAGCAGTAGTACCGCTGGGGAGCCTGGCACCACCGCCTCGTCCTCAGCCTCATTGGAGAGATTCTCTCTCTCTCTTCAGTGTCCCAGCGGTAGTACCGCACTACCAGCGTTAGTACGACCGAAGGGTCACAAGCGGCAGTACCGCTCCACAGCGGTAGTATCGCCCGTGACCCCACTGCCGTAGTACCGCTAGGTTGTCTGGCTCCTACCGCCTCGACTCGAGGGGTCTTTTTCTCGTGTCAGGTTTTGCGGCACTAGTTGCGGTTGTAGAGGCGGTAGTACCATTTCAGGAGCGGTAGTACCGCCCCTACCACCGCGGTAGTACCGCGTTGGGTCCTATTCCCTACTAGTCTCCTCTGCGCGGCAGTGCCGCTGGCTGGTGCGGCAGTACCGCTGACCTAGCGGTAGTACCGCCCCCTCTTAGCGGTAGTACTGCCCTGTGCGGGGCTGGTTGGTGGGGGGCAACGGTTGGATTGTTGCCCCCACTATAAAAGGGAGTCCCCTTCTTCTCTTTGACCTACCTCTTCCTCCCCCAAGCTCCATTTATTGCTCAAGCTTCATTAAATGCTCCAAGCTCCATTTTCGCCCGATCTATCTCTCTAGCCAATCAAACTTGTTGATTTGCTCGGGAGTGGTTGAGAAGGCCCTGATCTACACTTCCACCAAGGGATTTTTGATTCCCCCACTCATCCCTAGCGGATCTTGTTACTCTTGGGTGTTTGAGCACTCTAGACGGTTGAGGTCACCACGGAGCCATAGTCCATTGTGGTGAAGCTTCGTGGTTTTGTTGAGAGCCTCCGATTAAGTTGTGGAGATTGCCCCAACCTTGTTTGTAAAGGTTCGGTCGCCGCCTTCAAGGGCACCAATAGTGGAATCATGGCATCTCGAATTGTGTGAGGGCGTGAGGAGAATACGGTGGCCCTAGTGGCTTCTTGGGGAGCATTGTGCCTCCACACCGCTCTAACGGAGACGTACTTCCCCTCAAAAGGAAGGAACTTCGGTAACACATCCTCGTCTTCATCGGATCCACTCTTGGTTATCTCTTACCTTTACTTGTGCAAGCTCTTTAGTGTTACTTCTCTTGCTTGCTTGTATGCTTATTGTTATTGCATCATATAGGTTGCTCACCTAGTTGCACATCTAGACGACCTAGTTTGATGCAAAGTTTAATTTGGTAAAGAAAAGTAAAAATTGGTAGTTGCCTATGAAGGAAATATGCCCTAGAGGCAATAATAAAGTTATTATTTATTTCCTTATATCATGATAAATGTTTATTATTCATGCTAGAATTGTATTAACCGGAAACATAATACATGTGTGAATACATAGACAAACAGAGTGTCACTAGTATGCCTCTACTTGACTAGCTCGTTAATCAAAGATGGTTATGTTTCCTAACCATGGACAAAGAGTTATTATTTGATTAACGGGATCACATCATTAGGTGAATGATCTGATTAACATGACCCATTCCATTAGCTTAGCACCCGATCGTTTAGTATGTTGCTATTGCTTTCTTCACGACTTATACATGTTCCTATGACTATGAGATTATGCAACTCCCGTTTGCCAGAGGAACACTTTGTGTGCTACCAAACGTCACAACGTAACTGGGTGATTATAAAGGAGCTCTACAGGTGTCTCCAAAGCTACATGTTAGGTTGGCGTATTTCAAGATTAGGATTTGTCACTCCGATTGTCGGAGAGGTATCTCTGGGCCCTCTCGGTAATGCACATCACTTAAGCCTTGCAAGCATTGCAACTAATGAGTTAGTTGCGGGATGATGTATTACGGAACGAGTAAAGAGACTTGCCGGTAACGAGATTGAACTAGGTATTGGATACCGACGATCGAATCTCGGGCAAGTAACATACCGATGACAAAGGGAACAACGTATGTTGTTATGCGGTCTGACCGATAAAAGATCTTCGTAGAATATGTAGGAGCCAATATGAGCATCCAGGTTCCGCTATTGGTTATTGACCGGAGACGTGTCTCGGTCATGTCTACATTGTTCTCGAACCCGTAGGGTCCGCACGCTTAAGGTTTCGATGATTGTTATATTATGAGTTTATGAGTTTTGATGTACCGAAGTAGTTCGGAGTCCCGGATGAGATCGGGGACATGACGAGGAGTCTCAAAATGATAGAGATGTAAAAATCGATATATTGGACGACTATATTCGGACATCGGAAAGGTTCCGAGTGATTCGAGTATTTTTCGGAGTACCGGAGAGTTACGGGAATTCGCCGGGAGAAGTATTGGGCCTTATTGGGCCATACGGGAAAGAGAGAGGGGCTGCCTAGGGCAGGCCGCGCGCCCCCCCAAGGCCTAGTCCGAATTGGACTAGGGGGAGGGCTGCGCCCCTTCCTTGTTTCCTACTCCTACTACATGGAAGGACTCCTAGTTGGACTAGGAAAGGGGGAATCCTACTCCCGGTGGGAGTAGGACTCCCCTAGGGCGCGCCATAGAGAGGGCCGGCCCTCCCCTCCTCCACTCCTTTATATACGGGGGCAGGGGGGCACCCCATAGACACCCAAGTTGATCCACGTGATCATATTCTTAGTCGTGTGTGGTGCCCCCTTCCATCATAGTCCTTGATAATATTGTAGCGGTGCTTAGGCGAAGCCCTGCGACGGTAGTGCATCAAGATCGTCACCACGCCGTCGTGCTGACGGAACTCATCCCCGACACTTTGCTGGATCGGAGTCCGGGGATCGTCATCGAGCTGAACGTGTGCTAGAACTCGGAGGTGCCGTAGTTTCGGTGCTTGATCGGTCGGGTCGTGGAGACGTACGACTACATCAACCAAACGCTTCCGTTGTCGATCTACAAGGGTACGTAGATCACACTCTCCCCTCGTTGCTATGCATCACCATGATCTTGCGTGTGCGTAGGAATTTTTTTGAAATTACTACGTTCCCCAACAGTGGCATCCGAGCCTAGGTTTTATGGTTTGATGTTATATGCACGAGTAGAACACAAGTGAGTTGTGGGCGATATAAGTCATACTGCTTACCAGCATGTCATACTTTGGTTCGGCGGTATTGTTGGATGAAGCGGCCCGGACCGACATTACGCGTACGCTTACGCGAG